TGTAAAACCATAGGAGGGTTACTACCTTGACAATGCCTTATCAAGTCACTCTGCGGAATCACTGACATAAATCATGAAATTACTTGGGGCATTTATACACCATCATTATAACTTGGGTTTCTGCATTGACAAGCAAACCTTTACAAATGAGACGGCACACTTTTGCAGTTCTGCTGTTACTGTAAAACAATACAGTCTAATGGAACAACAGATCTTTATCATACGCTACCATGTTTGACTTGTTCCCTGCAGACCCATTGGCAATAGCAATACCCCTTTGCATATTGATAAAAGGGAACAGACTATTTTTCTTTCCAGCCTCAGTTTGGTTACATTGCTTTGAATGGGAGAAAGGCAAGATGGCTGCCCCATGATAGAGGTCCGTGGACAGAGTTGTTCCCAATGAGCTGGAAGTGCGATGTACAGATGTACATGTACTTCTGCGCACTTGAGGACACAAACGTGTGAACCAGTGTTACACACTTGAGATCAATGCATAAATCAGTGTTACGTGCTACTTATTCTGCACACAGGAGTTCTTGTGAGTTTGTCACACAAACCTCCTATACATATGTACATGTATGCATTCAGTCTCTCTTATATGGCACAGTGCCTTACGCACAACGAATGGCCACCAAGCAGAAAAACCATTTAGTGTGGTGTCACCAACTCAATGAGAACATGTGTAACGTATGGGACACACGCCTTCCCTGGAGCTGGCAAGCATGGTAGAGTGTACACACATACATTGTAACTGGAAGCAATTTTCATCGGAATGCGCACAAACATGTAGTGTCTCCACCCATGTGCCAGGCACATAGCAGTAATGCATTCCAATTTGAGGCAAATCTGTCTCATATCATTTTGTCCACTGAATGTTGAATTGCCATTGCATTGAAGTTGATGTTAGATGTTGGCACATAACTTATTGGTCACAGTCTCATTCAGTCTGTCAAATCATCAGAATATAAAAGCAAGTGTGCACAAAGTCAGTCTGTGACTGAAAAAAGGACTTTTTCTTTGCCTATTCCTAGCAAATCTGAATGCAAACTTTTACATGTGCATTGCCTGGCAATGCCAGAGAATTTAACAGAAACCACCAAAAGCTGCTCAAGTCCTGTAGGCTCCGACACACAATGTAGCTGGATCATGAAAATATCCCCTAGATGCTGGTCGATGCAAGCATCATTGAGCACACCAGCGGTAGAATCTGTAGGCGAGATAGACGGCTGCCAGTCCAGCGATGACATTGTGCAGTGCCTTGCGGTATTTGTCCTCACGCCGCACTAGAACGACAGGGGTGGCAGTGGTGAGGGTGTGGAGGGGTAGACGGGCCAAGCTCCTGGTGTCGTACTCCACCTGGTACTTGCAGCAGGGGTCAAACTGCCAGGAAACCCCGTAGAGTGCGGCGCAGGCCGCGCTGGTTGCGCCGAAGGGAACGCTGATGAAGTTCACAGCCTTGGCCGGGAGCATCCAGGGCGAGACCAGGCAGGCCACCCCAGCCAGTACGGCTGTCTTGTGCAGGCAGTTGCCCACGGTGATCCAGCGTGCCGTCTCATCCCCTAACCGGGACGGCTCTATGATGATAATGCTCCGCCCTGACTCCAGGGCCTGTTCCAGTTCATATTCAAATTGTTCCTGAGCGTCCCCGTTATCATAGATCTCATGGATGATGGCACAGTCAGTGGGCAGTGCTTCTCTGAACAGGAAATTTAAAAAAAAAAAGAATCACTCACTATGTGGACTCTACAATGTGATCTGACCACACCACGCTTTCATTGTATTCACTTTCTGAATAGATCCCATAAAATGAATCTTAAGGCCATTTTTTTCTGCAATTCTGTTTCAATTTGCATTTCAAAGCACAAACTGAGCTTTTAGCTTTGATTTTTCAATATCTCTCTAAGTCCGGCATTCCGATGAAGGACTTTTAATGGTGGTGGTAAAAATGATTCGGGTTTGTTAACTTTGTACTGATTTCCGTCAAAGGCTCTGAACTCAATGGTGGCTGTAACAGCTTGTGGCTCATTTGCCGGACTTGGCCACATCTATGCACAGTTTAACACAATATATGCGAGGAGAACTCTACAAGCAACATTCCCTTTATGTCTGTACAACACTGTTACTAATAGCAGGAGTATTACACTGAGCATGTAAGTACTTAAAAGTGAAATCCATATCCTTTCCCACAGCATTTTGCGACCACACACGTAGGAACTGGCGAAGGTTGGCTGAAGATTATCTCATCATTTTGTTTACACAATCTCTATTTAAGCCCTAATCTTTAACTGAATTCTATAAATTTCAACCCTTGTACATGCGACGATTATAAAAAAAGACCCCCCATTTATTTTGGTATAACCTTATTTGCCTTTAACTTACAATCATCATTCATATTCAAATTAGACTAGCGCCACCAGTGCTCAATTTCGGTTGCTATCTTATTCTTCATTTTCCGGAGATGTCCTATTTATCGCATTTATCCTATCTCTGTTCTTTTACAGTTGGAAGCAGTAAATAAATATTTGTTGAGAATAATCCTTTGATTTAAGAGTGCCACATACAATTTCGGAAGAAAAAGTAGGCCCTACCATGGTTAAGTAGCATGGGTATACTATTACTAGACATGCTAGAAAAACGAAAAAAACAAGCGACATTTTTTTATAAAATAATATTTAATTTGACAAGAAACAAATTGCTAATTTATTTTCTCATGATCAAAGCATGACAAGTTTTGATGATGGAGCAAAAACGTGCAGTAGGGCAGACAGGATTTGACATACTGAACGCATGGAAAAAAATGTTGCATCCTGACTCCACTTCAGCAGTTCTGTACAAAGTCTATGGGGAGTGAAGAGAATTTTCTAAATATTTCCCAACAACATCGGTAAATGTTTCTCAGTCCAGAATTTGTGTCTTTCCAGCATTTCTGTAATGACTGACATTTATTGGGATGATATATGATGAGAAAAGTGGGGTCAGGATGCAACACTGTAGCCAAATGCATCTCCATGATTGAATCCATGTACAGATGTAATTTACTGACTGACACCATTTAAAATGTGTTGTCCTGCCATTAAATCAGTTAGCAGTGTTGGGCCTACCCGGCATGACTGGTACCTCGGGCTCCACCATCCATGGGCCTAATCAAAATGCCAGGTCATGAAGGCCAAAGAATCAATCTGCCTGACACAAGTACGTCAACATGAGTAGGCTCAAATGATTCTCATAAAGGTTACATCGAACTGGACACACAATTATGCAAACCACAACAGGCATAAAATGCTGAACGTGCCGTCACCATCCACGCTCACTAACGCTGACAATGTCCAACGCCATGAACGTTCAACATGTTCAATGAATGTTCACGATCGACATGCATATGCAGTTGCAATGTTACAAAGATGAACGAGAAACAAAAATGTTCATTATGTTTGATAAAACAAATGCAACTTAATGAATCTGCAACAATGCAAAGACGTGAAATAATACTTAATTCAAGTTATAAAACGTAAAATCATTACCGTTCTGTCTCAGCCATCTTTTTTGTGCGATTGTGCACGTAATTAAATGAACACACCGGTAGCAAAAGAGGGCGCTATTCATGTCAACAGTNAAATTTTTGTCTGGTCACTCGTCTTTCAATTTCTTTTCAATTTTTTGTGGGTTAACCAATTACATTTTTAATTATTCCTACAAAACAAAATTACCCCCCTAAAAGTGATTTTTCCCAAGTCCGATTGCAGCCATTTTCCAAGTGGCAACCCTCAACTTTCTCGGGCACGTAGGACCATTTTGCAACCGTAGTTTTTAGCCATTCTGCTCTCAAAAAGCTCAAAGACCCAGGGAGTTGATCCTGGCAACGATTTACACAATCTCACCATTTTGGGGGCCAAACGATCCCCTTTTTCAAAAGATACTGTGGGGGGAGGCACTTTTAATGCTAATGAGCTGGTCAGAAATTCTCACTTGAATTAGTGGTCTGCACCCTGAACACTCGCAAAAAATGTGTAATAGCGCTCACAGGAATTCAAGGTTTCAAGATGCAAATCAAATTAAAGCTTGATTTGGTATGTTACATTTCACTCTGAATCTGGAAGCCTAGAGGGGTAATATTGTGACTTTCAAAGAGAATTTTCATTCAAAACTTGTTGGGAAGCCCCCACCCCTCAAGGTCCCATTGGGTATACAGTGAGCTCAGTTTTTTTATCAAAAATTATCAGGAATGCAAATAGTCCTCCATTGCTCTGCTCTAAAATCCTTCATTTCACATCTTCTGTTTAAGAGGGCTACTGCAAATTCAAATCTTGCTTTAATCAAGTCTGCAAGCCCTTAGATACGACTCAAATCTCCCAAGAGGAATAACAAACAAAAACTACAACACACAAATAAACAGACAACCTCCATCAAAATACAGTCAAGGCATTCAGCAAAAAGGAAGAAACTGTGTATTTTTAAAATTTTATTTGCTTTGTATTTGACAGTCTTTTTCAGTATTAGTGGTATTTTGCATTGCAGTGAGGCGAGTAATTCAAACACCAATGAGTAATCTGTACTTAGGACGTCAAAATTTGCCAGGAATGAGTACATGCAGAAGTATTCGATGTGTTAATATATTTTATGTAAAAGTCAGTGGTGTTTCTTTCTCTCTGTTTATGGAGATGAAAAGCGAAACCCAACTTTCAAATCTGTACTCCACATATACAGTATATATAATTTATTGTTTGCAGTAAGCAAAGAAAATCCCAACATCCTACAGATGAAATATTTATCTACAAACAACATTACTTAATTACCAAGTGAATCATTGTGTCTGGACTAGTGCCAATAATGATTGTTAATTTTTACCACTTTATGGGTGGGGAATGCATCCCCTTCCCCTGTGACTTCGAAAACACTGTTACTACTAAACGTCTGATTTCCTAACCAAAGAGTGCATGCACTCCGTTTTATACATTAAGTACTCAATGCCACATTGAATGCGAGCCCAAGCCAGAAAAAAAGTCTCTAAAACTAACAAAACACAAAGATTTGAGAAATTTCATGGGAGAAACCCATCAAATAAGCAGACAAACTGATTGGCTCAAGGACAAACTGATCTAATTCGTGGGTGAACAAACTTAACAGAGAGATCATGTGACTGATCAACCACGCAATAAAGCAACTCCTGTCCATCAAAAGAAATGTCAGTTGAACACCTGAGTTTCATTGTTTATGTTCCATTTTATAATCGCTATTAACCCTAACCCCCTAGGGTGTATGTAAAATCGTATTGAAATTGGAGGATTTGGGAGTGTTAGGGTTGTTTGAGGAAGTCATTATATTTCTCCTGCATGCAGTGCACTCAATTCATGAAATCAGGGTTACAATCAAGAAATATTTCCATCATTTCAAAGTTGCCTGTTTTCACAACTGAAAACAACCACTGGTAACCTTCCACATTTACCAAATCTAAGACAGCTCTTAAATTACTGCAAAAGTTTTGAGCAAATGGACATCTTGGTAGAACTTAAGAAAAAATTACTTGAGTCAGAGATGGTCATGTTTATAAAACTTGAGAAACAATCACTGATGCTCACAACTCGACTCAAATTTACCTTACTCAACAGGAGAAAAGGCCACAAGACATCTGACAGATTTTAACTTAAACCAACTCAAAATGACTCAAATACAGGTCATGATTTACACTTTTTACATATGCCTCAAGTTCAGTTAAAAACAAAGGGACACACAACACAGTGCAGCATGCGTAAGAAGAACAGGGCAACTTGTGACATCTGCCAACATAGACACTGTACGGACAGGTTGAGCTGTTGATTAATATGATTAGTTGTTTTGACTATGCCTCTAGAATTCCCCTTTAATAAGCTGTGGTGGTGGTATTTCTTCACCAGCCAGCAAGCACGCAATGCCTGCCAATACTCAACGAATTCCATACTGAAACACTGCATGAAATTCAACCTGCATTATCACTACGCAATGATGCCTCCTCTGCACTGGAGCCATCTCAAAGTCTTGAGTTCTTAAGTAAATACTGAGGACATTGGTGAAATGTTAACTGTAGTACAGACCGTCTGTTTTGGTCTCACAAACCCAACTACCACACAAAGAATACAATGTTTCAACAGCAGGCTTAAAACGGCACCATAAAGCACCCCGAAATGGTTAGCTTTCTGTGAGCGGTTACTGTGTGACTGACACCTGTGGACAGAGTTCACCAATTTCACAGACCTGTTAGCCTTGAAAATTAACTGAGTGTTGAACATATTTGCTCAGCAAAAACAGGTTACCAACCAAAAAGTCACTTTATGTACACTGCCTATGACTGGTTCGTGCTTGGATTAGCTTAGCACCTGTTTTCTTCAGTGAGATTTTCTGCACATTATGCAGACAGCCACTTGTCAAAAGCTTTACCCTTGAAGTCACTTCACATTATACGCATAGGGAAATTTGATTTGGTCGTAGAAAAAAACAATTGCAACGTATGACAAAGAAATACCAATGGAAAAATAAACTTCATTTCCTTTTAGCAGCTTTTTACTTGAAATTCTCATCTCGAGCTTTTTTAGGCCAATGGCGATCCTTTTATAACAGCACTGTAATTTTAGTCAGGAAATTCATTCCGCCTGATAAATTCTGTCTGACAAACCTTTTTGTCAAAAATTACACCAAATTAAACGACAGATTCCAAAAGTTAAACATCCTTGAACAGAAGCAGACTTTCTAGACACTAGATGCCTTTTGGCTAATGATCTGAATGGTTCACACTACTTTTAAATTTTTTTTTAATATATACAAGCAGAGAACGACACGACTACTTCAGAGTTGCAAAGACAGGTGCATTTGCACACGTTCCGTCTGGATAAATTTGAAGAATCATATAAAAATATTATTTATAAATTATAAAGATACAATAAATGTTGCCTGTGTGCTTTTTTAACGTTTGGCTTGCGACTGTTTGCCTGGAAATGCACAGCTCTGATGAATCAGTTGTGACTGAATTGGTAAAAAATGCCTCCAATATTTCAGAAGTTTCTAATTCGGAACATACACTGAAATCCAATTTCTTACTTCATTAATTGATGAGGACTGGAAATTATTATTCACAAGGCTGATTCAGCTCTAGACAAATATGTGGAGATGCCATTCCTATGGGGCCACAATACTCACGCCAAGGGTTTCGAACTTTGGCGCCAGCACACAGTTTGGCAAGTCACAACACCCTACTGGTCTGAGAGAAATGTAACGCGCGTGTATCGCCTGCGTGCCAAAAAAAGGGCCCAGCAGTAATGACTTCTAAGTCTGGCCACCGGATTAGTCTCCAGGAAAAACTTCATACAGTTCACCGTCATGATGACACTGACAACATGTACCTGTGATTTAATATGTAAGTTTGCTCACAGTAAGAGAACTTGGTTGTCTCAAATGCTATCCGAAAGTGAAAGTATATCACCAAAACTTGAAACGCAAGACAAAAAAACCTCCCTTTGTGAAAATGCAAAAATAAGAGTGTTGATTGCAGGAAAGCAACTGCAACCTTGACGCAGATGCTACCCCGGAACAGTAGAAGTAGCAGAGAACAATGCATGCATCTTTAACATAGGTTCATTGGAAAACTACCGATGTATTCCATGATTTCCATTTCTACGGTCTTTATTTCTTACGATGCTTTTTTTTCCAAAATAAAAGCAGGGTACCTGAAATACCTGCCCTTTAATAAACGTCATTTTGACACATCCTTTCAGCGTTAAGCTTAATTGATTCTGGATTAGTGGAATTCCCTAAGAACTGGATGAATATAGAACTCTGCAGTATTTCATAGACTGATTCGCGTCCTTAAAATACATCACTAGATATAAATCTCAATTCTTAAAGTTTTTTTTCCATTCATGCAGGACAAAATATTGTTACACAATTTCACAAATGCATGATGGGGAGTGCAACGACGTATTACATTTGTATGTACAAGTTATCTCGTTTTACATCAATGCAAGAATGCATTATGTACATCTCAATTTCCTTTGCGTTTTACTCTACTTCACTGCACTTTGGCATCAGCTGACTGCCTGCACAAACCCCTTCCCTCCCCCTTTTCAGAGTGGTTGGATCCGACTGTGCTGACATCTCCCTATAAGGCAAACATGGTGTTCTCGGCTTCCTCCATCTTGTTCTGGCGGGTCTGGCTTGTCTGGCTGGGGAGAGTATCAGCTGCCTTGGCCCTTGCTTCTAGAAACTGGTCAAATTCTGAAGAAAACCAAATTACAATATTTCAGGACCACTTTCCGACTATAAGCCACTTACGAACAGTATTATTTTGGATCAAAATTTCCACTTTGCAAAATGGCAGGGCACAGCAACCAACTTTTGATATGTTGCCAAATACTCGTAAAAGTTATTTCAGTGATAACTGTGTACAGTTATACATGTATTTCTTTAACCAAAACTATCACGCAATACTCTAAAGTGATATCCACTACAACAGACAGGCCATGTAAAGAGGTCAGGCTCGTTCTTAACACGAGTTTAAAGTACTGAGCTGCTTTGAATGAGTGGACACACAACCAGTTCCAAACATTCAGTCATTCTGGTAATAGAGTTTTTTCAGCAAGAAATGTTTTCAAATAACTCTTACTCACACAGGTAGTTCCCATTTGTGTACTCCTGAATATGTGTGGCAATTGAGCAAAATGAGTCCCAAGTTGCCAAAGCTACTTTTGAGTTAAAAGCATCTTGGACAATGTAAATCCACAGAAACCGTCACCATTTCTCAGCCAAATCATAGCCCATTTTAATGGGATGACTAGACTGGGTGATGCATCGAGACAAACAACTCAGTTTGCTCTTTCTCAGGCAAACAAAAACAGATTTTCTTAAAACACAGTCGGAGACTCATTTCACGGGATCCAGTTGCATACGTCGGAATTAAGTTGGCCCTGCATCTGTGGTCAAAAGAACAGTTCCACACTGGCTGTTCACTGACACTAAGAGGCAGAGTGTGAACGGCCTGCTACCCTGAAGGAAAAACAGGGAACAGTTCCCTACAGAGCTCCAAATGTATAATGAGTACATTACGGAACGTTGAAAATGGAGGAAATAACAGGATATGAAACAAGAAGAGAGAAATTCAAATCCTATCAACACCTTGACTGTGGCGCATACCTTCAAAGGGGAGTTGCTATGTGCCAAGCGTTGTACGCGTGCTACATAATTAATAGGTACCTTTCAGGTGTCAGCAGCATGAGATTTATTTGTCGTTTTCTTTGGTGATGCCAGTGTATTCAATTTATATTACAATAGCCTTTCATTTCCTACGAGTCTACTCAATGTGGCAGAATCCGGTACACCTATGACGAGTATACTCGTACTCGGCAGTCAACGCGACGATAGGACAACCATCATGTCCGGTGAGACACTGTGGTAGTGTTTAGACCTGAAGTCGTTACCTGAACTTGTGATTCCAGCCTCTTCCTGGCTGTTGGTGTTCTGGGCTGCCAGTCCGTCGTTTGCTTTCTCCTGCAAGAGATCCCAGCAAATTACAGTGTCACCAGTATGCAAGCCCATTACCAAGACAAACCTACACTGAGTGCTTTGAACAATTTGATCCACTGTTTTGACCAATGAAGAAGTAAGCAGTAAGTCATGTGACTATCTTAGTGAAAATGGAAATTGTTTTTCAACGTGCTCCCTTCGGCTGATGGCGGAATCATCGGCAAATCATGAAATGAAATCAACCAATTGCACACAGATCAAGCAATTGCCCTGACACCTTCACAAGAGATTAATTGTGCTGTCTACACGTGTGCAGTGTAGATGTTAAAATCCTATGACAGCTGAACACTGGTTGAAATTTTCTCAAAACAGTAATCTATTTTCTCCGTTTAGCATATCATTAAAAACCTTTTGTACTTCACAACGAGGCTTAACGCTTGAGTCGCTTGAGTTTTCTGACTACCTCCTCTGTTACATCAATAAACACAATGGTATCATTCTGCATCTGCTTACCAGGTCAGTTGCATTTAGCCATTTCTCCATTTCGTCCACATCAACATTGGGTGGAAGTCCCTTTGGTATCAAAAATACATTTAAAAAATGGATCAGTCCTAATTTCTTTTCAATTTTGCTTATCAGAGTTTGTTGGCGTGCCATTCATTATATGTAGTTCTGTTTATTGCTTCATGCAAACAAGTCAATGTAAGTCTGTTATTGTGGACACATAATTTCTTGGCAAAATGAATTACCCAGGAGCAACAGAGTTGAGAGAACAGTCAGATTCTCAGATTATCAAGTTTCGAGCCTTTCTGCCTGTGAGTGACATCAAGGGATGTAACTGAAAAATGACAGATTGGCGTGCACACCGCTCACTGCATCTACAAGTCTTAATAAGCCTGATCTGCAATCAATGACCCACACTGGACCCTTAATGACCCACATTGGACCCTTAATGACCCACATTGGACCCTTAATGACCCACATTGGACCCTTTCTGGGGGTTCTGGGGCCACAGGTATATCACGCTCTTTTCAACTTCTATGCGCAACCTGGCATTAAGTTTATTCAGGCTTGCGAGCTACGGGGCCTAAGGCGTCTTTGAGGAATCCGTGGTATCATCACCAGAAAAAAAATTAATAATAACAAGCCAAGCCTGTTTGCTCTTTGTAGTTTACAAATTCAAACAGAGTATTCGGTGAGCTCAGTGTGGGTCAATTCCAAGCCAAAATGGCCATCTAATAAAAAATAAAAATGTCTTAATTTCACATTAACACAGCTAGTTACTCTACAAGACCGGATAACATATCCGTCCAAACTTGAAGCCCTCCTTCGTGGGCAAACGAGAAACAGGTTGGTGGGAATCCTTCCATGACATTAGCACGGAGGATGCACATCTCAACAGACGCTGGTCGCATTCTGCATTTTCCCTTTTGGTTTCACATGGATTCGGATCTCGATCAGTGACCCTTATGCCGCTTCACTCAATCTGTTAAGTGGGACATGGTGTCGGTGAACCAACTTTGGGTCGCTGAATGCAATCCGGATCCACGTGAAACAACCAGGCACATCATGCGTCCTGCGCCAAGCAAACATAAATCCGCTCATGCATGACCAGCCCAAATCCTCCAAAATCCTCCGACATTTCTTGAAAATGTCATCTGGAGGGGTGCCCACTGCCCAAATCCTTCAAAATCCTCCGGCAATTCCTGTCATTATGTTGAGGCAGTGCGAATGGCATTCCTGAGCAGTGCGGTTGATTCAAAAAAAATATCAGGCTGAATTTGTGCTTGACTAAGCACAGACAAGATAATATCTAATCCAAGACCTTCACATATGGCATCCTTTGAAATCAGACATGCAATTTTTCCATACACCCTGAATCCTCTAAATTCCTCCACTTTGCAGAAAAGGATTTTGGAGGATTTGGGAGGGTTAGGGCTATTAGTGGACCTTCATAAAACTGTAGGGTATTCAGTGCACTCCGGGTTCATAGTGTCAAGACCCCCAAAATTCAAAGACTTTTCATGACTTTTGTGGTCCATTTTCAAAGACTTTTTAATGACTTCCATAATCATGATGTGCAATGCTCCTTTGAGGTGACATCGTGGGGCTCTGACATAACAGTAACACCTGTCTGTGATCTGCAGATTGGCGCGCTTAATGAAAAATATTGAAATGTGTCTTGGAAAGTGCAGAGCAGTTATAAAATATAAGATGTAAAAGATGAAAATTTAATGACTTTTAATGACTTAATTCCCTTTTCTACAAACATTTAATGCCTGTTCCAGGAATTTCCCGACAATGATAAAACGTAAAGATTTTGAAGGAATTAATGACCGCTACGAACCCTGATAACGGTGATTGCGAATCAAAAGTAGTGTCATGCACAGGACACATTCTATTGAAGTGAATGTTAAAAAACCTGTGTGCAGTGAGTGAGTGAACCAAAACATGAGGTCAAAGGTCAGTTCATGAATGGAGCCCATGAAGCAGAACATAGTCAAAACTAAACACAACAGCAAATCAACATGGCCCAAGGAAAAATTAAATGATAGTTTTTATGAGCTATTGTGAAGACAAGGATGCAACATGCATTTGAAAATTTCAAAAAGTCATTAACAATCAGATCTATGGCCAGCAAACCACGTTTGGCACAAAATTAGCATTCTGAAGTATGCCTTCTTTTTTTTGGAGGGGGGGGGATTTGTTTACCATCAACTTGAAGTGAAACATATTCCAAGAAAAGAAAACAAAAATATTAAGATTTCGTTTTTACTTTTTCCTAAATGAATTTTAATCATTCTTGCTAGCTGAAATCATTGCATGAAAAAAATATGGTATGATTGCATGGACATTGTAATGGAAACTTTTTGATCCACACCGGAAGGAATGACGGCCCCTGCACGGAATCCCACACAGAACATCCGGGAGGTGATTCCAATTGTGGAAAAATTCCAATGGAATGGTGACATTTCTAACATACTCCAGACTTGCAGGAAAAAGAACCTGAAAGTTTCATTAGGAATCGCGATTTCTCTGTGACAGTTCTGTACTTCCATAAAAAAAAATATCCAATTGAAAATCCAGTCAGAAATCTACATTTCTCCAGGGAAATGCCATTTGGGAATTCCACAGGCACGAAAAAAATTCCACAAGAAGATTTCTGATGGATGGAATGTGCTTACCTCTTCTGCTAACTCAGGTTCTACTTCCTGGTGTAAGCATGACAGGCAATGGAACAGGGTGGGTGCGAATGGGAAAAAAAGTGACAAATTAAAGAAGACTCGAAAAAAAATTGAAAGGGAACGAAAACCAGAGAAACCATGCGGAAGCGGGTAATATGTATCGTAAACCATAGATTCCAAACACACTACTTGAGTAGACTAATGGAGTAATAAATCTACTCTGTAATAAATCTACAGGAGACTTTTTCTTCATTTTCGTTTACAGCACAGGAGTTTTCCTATCAATTCTGACAGGTTTGTGACTTTCAAACAACCTATGTGTGGCCTGTGACGTCACACTTTGTTAAGATGTGAACTTTCCTAGTGAGCCAGTGGGGATCTGCAGTCCGCTCAGCACCCCAGGAAAGTACACATGTAAACGAAGTGTGATCATCGGTAGAGAGAGTCATTGGTGTGCCCTCTGTAGGCAGAATGTGATCACAGCATCCCAGGGTCAATACCTGAAGAATGGATCCACAAGGTCCCATGGTTTAAGATACATAATACATGAAAGGAACGAAACAAATGAAAACAACAACACGAGCATATCATTTCAGGGCATCCAAAGAAGTCACCGGTAGGAACCAAAAATGATGCATTCAAATGTTCAAGTCAAGCAACTCGGATAGTGGGTACAAGTGTTTTTACATTCGTAGGTAATCACTGTGGGTTAATTCAAGTACGAGAAAGCATAGAACAAGAAACAGTCAGCTTTCAAAATGGTTATTTTCTTGCTCATTTCCAGCAGCGATTTCTGGACATAATCTAAGATATTTATGAGACCTGACACATTTGAGCAACCTTGCGAAAGCCGGGTATTCACAAGAGGGACACCTGGATTACGACCGCCATTGGCATTTCTTCTTGAATAGTGTCTCACTCTTTCCACTTGTATTCACTTGACAAATTAATAGTCACTGGTTATGGAAAGTGTTACACAGAACCTTCAAACTAGTCACAAGTTGAGGGCAAAACATACCAGTGTTGGTGCAAGTTAGAAGTAGGATCCCACAAAATCAAAGTAAAAGTAATTTTAGAAATGCGGTCAACTTGTAAATATCCCCTGAACCGTGCCCAATGTAAAAAAAAGTCAAGTCAGTGAACGCTACAAAACCACAGTCACAGTTGGGTGCTGCTAGGAACAGGGACCAATGATAAATCTCAAAATCAACAACTCACATGCGCGTTCAGCTGAAAACAAAATACGAAACAAAAAACACAGGTTTTTCTTAATGAGTGGCAAAATATGCGGAAATGAGGGGCACTGCTGAATCAGATCAGTTAAATGTTGGTCATAATTGATGTATTCGATGCTGGGCGTGACACATCCCGACAGAAAATACTGGTCAAACAGAACTCATGAATAGTGTAACGTGTTTAAATATTATAGGCTTTGGAGGCTACAGTCATCTCACTCTGAAAACAAAGGGGAAAAATGGATAAAAACTCTTCAAACCTGTGCAGGTTCAGCCACAGGTGCAGCTGAGAATGGATTGGCCCGGGCATTGACAAGATTACCCATCGTCACGCCCGACTGGTCCAAGTTCATGATGTCTTGGTATGTGCTGCCACTGTTGGGAAAGTAAGCGTTGGAGGTATTCAGAAGTGGCTTTTGCTACGAACTCTTTCTAGTCGGTAAATATCCAACACACTTTATTACAACTGATTCAAAGTGCCAAAGAGGATGTTCTGTCATGTGATTTTTGATGGTCAGCGTTCAATTTACATAGATGCGTGGAAACGCTTGCACCATCGACGTCTCTCAACAATCTGGTGTACATAAATTGCCAATGGAAAGGCAGATTCAAAAACGCACATGGTATGCTTCCCGAAATGCCGTTGTCCATCACGTTACATCATGTGAAAAATCTCTATACTGGCTCTACTCATGGGCTTCAGGTCTTTGCACTGACGATAAAAGGGTATCAAGGATTTCATTCTGTCCTAAGTAGGTCATTCTATCAATGTGTGTGACATTTTCCGTTCCTGTCACACCTGACCTGTGTAATTTAACAACAGATATATATCACTGAAGTTGACTTTAAGTTATTTCTACTTGTTCGGCAGGTAATTTGTAATACCGAATCACTCTTGGAAATTAAACTCACAAAATCATACATCAGATGTGGCAGGGACGGGAAAAACTTGGACCCCAAATTTGTAGAATGAGTCATGCAGTATTGTGTTTAATATGGACACCAAGAAAAGTGTCTGCCTAGTCCATCAAAGAATATGAAAGGAAAACATTATGGCTTCAACTGAGGCAGATATGACTGCACTGTTGTATCAGGTGAAAATTTCCCTGGGGCAGATATACGACAAGTGTGTACTTGGTCGTGGTCGCACAGGGTACACACAGGTGATTTTCTCAAATTCGCAACATCTTGGCATAGGTGTTGGGCACACAACGCCAAGGAGTACCAACAATCACCCCTTGACGGAGGCTTGTGTGCACGGAATGGACCTTGTCGGATGCCATGATGCTCAGCACAGGGTGCACGGACACCAGTAGACCACGTGAGCGACACTCATACACATTGTGAGCGCAGCACGACGGCACGTGTACACGTACATTCCTGGCCCACGCTAATGCCTACACAAATGTCCCATACGCTTGTCAAAAATCAATTGACAGTCCCATGACTACAAGTCCTAGGACGGGGGCGAATGATGGCAAGGTCCTCTGTCATCAACGGACAGCAATATTTCCCCTTTTCATTGTCTCTTCCTTGTTATTGGCTCGTCATGCTGATACGTGTACCTTTTTCGACTGTCCGTGTAGCTGGTCTGCCTACTCTGGGCAAACATGTCAAACTCGTCTGTCGACACTGCTGGGGCTGCACCACCGGAAATGTCTGAAAAATCAGTGTTGGGAAAACGGTAACATTGATGATAGGATCATTACTTATTACTGTCAATGGTACCTAAGGGAGACATTCCTATTGTGTTGGGTACATGATTATTCCAGCTTTGATGACCCCCTACCTTACTTTTCCCCCGATCCTACCCCGACAAATGAAAATGTCAAACCTACCGATCTATCTCTATCTACCGATCTATTTGTGATGTGATCAGTGAAAAACTTTCACAAGGTGAGCTTTGTCATTTTGGTTGACATAAACTTCAAATTGATCTGGGCACTGACCTATTTTCAAAAGTTTAATTTGGGATTCTAGACACCCTAGATCACGTTGCAGACAACTGAGAATCAGAAATGTAATCTATCTGAAAACAACAGTTTGTCTTTATTAATTTGAAGTGACCAAATGACAAAGCTCACCAGGTGAAGAGTTTTTGCAGATCACATCACATTTGTAACTTTCAAAAAACGTTGCCCCTATCTGGAACATGCAACCTCAGGAAAACACTGAAATGACTCTCTGATGCTAAATATTCCCCTTAGGTGAAATAATCAACATAGACAGTCTCCCTAACAGTACTTATAGTAGAATAACCAATCATATTTTATAATGGACCCACTGACAAAATGGTCATGGTTCAAAGTTGTAATTATCCCTTCTCGTCAGTCCATAATCATTTCTCTAACTATTTCACCTCCTTGTGGAGCATCCATTTTTTTCCTTCCATGTGACACTTTCATGTAACTGATGAACTGGAATCAACAACACATTGAGCAGTGTGACTTGTGCGCTGAAGCCATATGGAAAATATACTCCATTGATTGAAAGATCTTTACATGCGATCACCTCACATTCAAGAAGGCCCTTGAAAATAGTTTGAGCAAGGTGCCGGCTCTAACCCGGAAAACCAGTCACAGGCAATTTATTTCTCTTCAATTGCTCACACTGTGCTTTTCTGCAATTCCAAAGGGCCTTTTCGATGCACACTGATAACATGTCCAGACTTGTCAGGATAGATTTCTAGACTCGGTAAACTATGAACACAGGGTAATCGAACAGTTCAGCAAGCATGCTCCAACCTTGTCTGGAGCAGGGGTGGGGGACTGGACTTGTATTTCAAGGTTGTCAGGTTCAATATAAAACTATTACATCTTGCCATCAGGATACTGCAGCATATTCCACCAGACCAAACTGAATCAAAGAAGTACCCTTCAAGCCCTTCCCCAAAACCAAAACATAAAAAGGAAACAGGCTTTACAAAAACAATTACAAACCAAAAACTCCAGAGGTTCAGTTTTCTTTCCCGTGTCAGAGAATATGACGAGACAAGAAGGTGCTTAAGAATTCAGACATGTAAAAACGGAGACCAGTTTCATTACTGTGCTGTTCCTAGGCGGGCATATGACTTCTGCTACCATTTTTAAGAACTGAGAATTACTGGATTGTTATGATAAATAGAGCCTGTGGCTTTTTGGTGTTTTTTTCAAATGGAGATTACCACACCTTATGCATATTCATGATCCAGAGCTGAACTCTTATTGGTCTGATCATCATCACTTTCCACTGTGAGGATCTGTCCACAAGTCAAATGCATGCTAATATTAAACTGTTCCCCGGGAACAGTTCATGAAACTGTAGCACGGGGAACAGTTTGCTATGCACTTCATGTGAGCAGACGCCGGTACACCTACGTGTTGCCTTGCCCTTGCTCCTGAACTTTTATTGGCAACTAAATATGTCTGAGTTATGGTAAAACAAATGTAACACAGTTATGTGAGGGGGATAGTTGATTTTAGCTATCCTCAGTATTGATACTTGATAAATAGTTTGATATACCTCCAAGAGCTATACTCAACTATCTCTCTTCAAACCATGTTACAGATGTACATGTATCCTGGTGCCCAATACATTTCTGTGAGGAACTTCTCAGTGAAACCAGTCCCCAAAGTGATGGAAACACCCAGAGTTAAACAAGGGGGGAACAGAGATGAAGAAAGCCCCTCACCAAGACCTGCCATCTGTTGGCTCATGTCCCCTGCTGCGGCGACAGGAGCGGGCGAAGCAAAGGCATTGGGGGCGGAAGTGGGCTCGTCGGTCCCCAAGTCTATTAGGGTAGCAGTGTTCTGGGCTGCTGGTGGAGGGGCGGGGGAGGAGCTCGCAGGGTAGGGAGGAGGAGCACTGCTGACGCTATTCTGTGGACAAGAAGGGCAAGAGGGAAGAAGTAATAGAGGCCAAACTGGGTATGGACACCGCGCATCACCATGGACGGCGCTTTCTTCCCGAGCGGCATATTTTTGGGTGGACGCTCTGAATGGCCGGCTGGTTTGTGCGCACATACAGCATGTGCGATTTTTATTGAACTGGAAATGCACAAAGCCGCAAGTTCTTGAGATGGGTGGCATGATGTATGGCCGAATTGGAAAGGAAATGTCAGCCAAGCCTCTCCCTCCGTCACCAATGAGGGGGTACTTGCATACACAGTCCATGCAAACCTTATCTGGGTGAACCTTCAAATATGCAAAACCCACCGTTAAGGCCAAAATCTTGGCCCGAGAGTGGCAAAGACCGATTCATACCTGGATAAATGGTGGGGCACGGTGGGCTAGAGCTCGGAACAGACTTATGAAAGAAAACATTCTGAGGGTAAGACTTCTTTCTCAAGAAAAGCAACTAGCTTTTCCAAGTGTAAAACTATTGCCTCTGCGTATGGTCCAACAAGGGCCCTATTCTGCCTCATAATTGGACAATTTCACTGGTCCGCTCATGCTGTTCATTTGTAAAACATTTGGGAGTCCGTGCAGCCATACCAGAGAGAGTGAGGCTACATGTATTTCTTAATGACAGAGAAGTAGGCTGGTGCCTGGTCCGTCCATTAAATACAATCCCAAACGGATGGGACGGGAAACATTTTGAAAGAGGGAGCCCCTGCTATGCATGTTGTTTGTATTACTGTAACAGAGTGCAGTGCTGCACACCAGCAACTGATGCCATGAGACTTCACACCATAGCGTAACTTCACTGAAGCCACAGCTGCCTGTATGACTTGTTCGACAAATTATAACAAAATTCCACAAATTATTATGGCAAAATTCCACCAAAGTTACGCACTGTGCAAGTCTACAACTAGTGCAACAAATCATGGCACAATGTTGCGATCCTTATAATGGGATGTAAGTTACGCCAAATCCATGGGAACTGAACCATTTTACAAGCTAATCATGCTCGGTCAACGTGCATCACAGCTCAACTTAATGAGCTTTACACGAGAAATCTAAAACTTTGATTCTTAAAGGTAATGAAAAACTTCTTTGGCTGTGACAGCGCTTTGAGATTTTGTGCCTGGTTTGATGAAGAAAATGTGAAACCTTCCAAATGGCAGGCGGAGCTTATTTACGTCTATCTAATGACTGGTGTAATACTGAAATAAAACAGTTCACTTCATAGCTTTGTCCTTGTCCGAGAACATAAATCAATAAAATACAATGTGCCTGCAGCTGAGAAACCTTGTGTGAAACAAGCCATAAATTTGGAGCCTAAGGTTTACACATGGTGCGATGTTACGCCGACTCGCCGAGTTTTGTGAAACTGGCCGCAGGTGTGTTAGATGCCATACACCAACCAACGACAAGTTCATTATCCGTACAAAAGTAAACACTGATGTGAATTTGTCACATCACGGTAAGTGTATTCACTGTAAATCTGCGGATGATGAACCCATTCCAACTGCAAAGTTTACTGTGAACATTTCGTAGCGACACATTTGCCTAAAGAGGGTATGGCAGGGAATTATGGTCAAATGAATCGGGTGTCTCTTACTGGTTGAGCCACTGGCTGTGCTTGGGGCACTGATGGGACCCCCATCTGCTGTGCTGGCTGTTGGGAAGTCTGGCTCTGCCGGTAGCGCTCAAAGCGATCGTAGCGGACGAACACGTTATTCAAGTCATCATTGACCCTCAGTAGTTCACCTGCAAAATAGATCCCCACACATTTTTTTTTAAAGTTAAGGGGAGCAATTTTCATGATGCTGGCGGGTGCAGAAATTGTCACCACAAAAGCCACGTGACGCATACTTGACAACTCTCATCTGTTTTTTATTTCGTATTGGTTTTTTCTTTGGTGCCAAGCTCATAAGGAGTTCAAGGTAAAAAGATTTTCCACGGTGGTTCACCACACTAGTAGATTCTACAGTTTTTAAAAAAATGACTGGCATAAATGTTACGGAAGTTAGGATAGGTGTACTTGTACCAGCAAATCTGCAGCATTCCTTGTTGTTCATGCTTTTTCATGCATTCCAATAATAAACAGTCACTCCCAGACTTGCAATCCAATACCAAATAGTGACCTTTGAACCATAATGGCAAACATCGCTGTTCCTATGACCGCTCGCAGTGCACCTCTGATGTACATGCACACATTCATGTGGGTACCTGTATCTCTGCTTTCAGTCCTGAGAATTGTTTACATACCAGTCACTTCCTCGTTGTTGATGGAGCTTATCAGCTCAACCACACGCTGCTGCATTGCACGGCATGTTTTATTCAGATCCTGGGGGAAAAAAAAACACAATGGTTGCAATCAGAAGTTTCCTGTTTAGAAACGGTGTGAAACTGAAAAAAGAAGGAAACTTTCAAAAGTGTGTCATAAAAATGGAGCAAAGTGAAAAAGAAAACAAAGCTAAACGGCAACGTAAAAAATTATGCCAAAGTGTTTCATTGAAATTGGTGAGTGTTTTCTGATATCAACCCAAGTTATTTCAATAAACAACAATGCTCTTTCCACATCTAAACAAAAAAAGAAAAAAAGCTGAATTCTCACACCCCTGATGGAAATCTGGAAGTTCTGGTGTTTTGGTAGTCTGAAAATTGAGAAATCGAAACAGGTCCAATTAAATCAGAACGGCTGGCAGATATGATAGAGCCACATATTGTCTCTTCTGCTGCTGTCTGCATCTTGACGTCTATGGTGCTCTCTGCCATTGTTACGATCATAAGGAATCTTGGCCTTACCTGCAGGAGTTGCAGATCACTGGGATCCTCCTGGCCGGGCACCATCTCCGTTAGCATCTCCGACATGACCCTGACGTTGCCCAGCACCATCTCCAGGTCACGCCTCAGCTTGGCCAGCTGCTCGGGGGTTAGGCCAGCTGGTGCCGGCGCTGGCACTGGGGCCTGGGCCGGGGAGGAGGGCTGCACGGGGATGGGCCCCGTGTTGAGCGGGGACTGCTGGGGCGGGTAGGGGCTCTGCTGCTGTGGGTAGGTGCCCTGCTGGGGTGGGTAGGCACCTTGCTGGGGTGAGTAGGTGCCCGGCTGGGGTGAGTAGGTGCCCGGCTGGGGTGGGTAGGCGCCCTGCTGGGGTGAGTAGGCACCCTGCTGGGGTGGGTAGGGAGTTGTCATCTGGGGCTGCATCTGGGGTTGGGAGTTCTGAGACCGGAAAAGAGACATAAAGATGAGGTCGAGCAAAGAAATGACCCTTTGACCTATGTTACCTAACAACAGTTACCATTGGGGTCAACATCATTAGCCGACATTTGAATTTCTCATGTGAAACTATATACATTAAGAAGCCCAGAGCATGTTCCAGCTTCATGAAATGACCCAATGTCTGACCCTACTAGACAGGAACCTGTGTCACTTGACCTGGCATCGTGACATTGGTAATGCTGCAAACCTCAGAAATGGCAACGCGCCACAGGAAAAAATTGACAAACGAAACTGGCGAGTGTAGCCTGATTCCTTTTGTGGTTGACTGAACCCACTGGAAAGAAGAACAAGAAAAACGAAGAGTGCTATCTTCAATCATGTGACGTCCGACAAGGAGCAGCATAAAAACTGAAAATAACATCTCACCCGTGGGAGGGGAGGGGGGGATGTGATACCAATCTAGGCAGATTTGATTACTCTGAGAAACAATGATCACAAACACATCTTTATATGTCTGACAAACTGCTTTGGATATCAGAAGACAGGTTTTCCTGTGACATTTCAAGTTTGCCAAGACATTTGCATCTGCCCAATCAAGGAAACAGACTACCTTCGAGATCATTCTAAAAAAATCCCAGTTCTAATAGTCGGATACCTGTCTGGTTGGAGCAGCGCGCCTGCTGGCTGGATCTACCTCTGGGGTTGCCTGGGGGACACACAAAAAATACAAGCTTAGAGAAAATGGGAGATTTTGTGGCATGCACACATTGAAATTAATTATCGTTTCCGATTCAAGGAACTTAAGCCACTATTTCCCATCCCTGTGCATTTTGAGAACAACCATAATTTTTATTAGCCAAAGCCTTTAGGAGTCTCTGATTTCCTACAGTGTGAACATGGCTAATAGAGTGAGGTAAAATGTTGGTCAGGTTACCATTTTCTCTCAAATTTTACATATTGCATGGACAGATTCAAGGGTGAATTATTGATGGCCATAATGAGCCAGTGCATTGTTCCATCAGTGCATGTCCAAAACAGCAATAGACGTGAGCGAGGTCTGCCCTCTCACAGCAGCCATACCCCGACTTGGCTGCATGCATTGTTCTTGAATGACTTGCCTTTTTAAAATTTATCAAACTGGTTAATTTTAAGGAGTCAGGTTGGCGTGGTGGTTGTTTCCTTGCCTTCCACCTCTGCGGTCTGGGTTCGATTCCCAGCTCGGTTCACATGTGGATTGAGTTTTCAGTCCCTACCTGATTCCGTGGGTTTTACCCAGAATATTCCTCTGGGCTTTTCCTCCCACCTCTAAAACTGTGACTACTTCTCATTGTCTCCTCTCGACAGGTTTCTCCAGGCTTGCGAGCTACAGTGCCTAGGGTGCCGGAAATAATTCATAATAATAGAGAAAGCTGTGTGGGAATAGGCTGAAACTCTACCGACAAGCAAAGCTTGGCTACTGGGTTAAATAGACACTGTAACTGCACTGCCATCATCCAAAGTGCTGAATCCTGACCTCCTCCAGCAAGACCTTGGAAAGGCCCTTCTGAATCAGCTAGCAGCATCCAGGAGTAAACACACGATCCTCTTATAATAACTGCAGCCACTGGTGTTTGCGTTCTTTTTGGCCACATCACTGATGTTCAGCTTAGCGCATATTGGCCACGTTTAATCGATGACCAGTTATCAACCCTTGGTCAATTTTCCCTGGTAACCTACACACTAAATGTGTTATGGGTACCAGGCAACACTGACTGACAGTTAGCTTTTTGCACTGAGAAGAAGCACCCCCTCATTGGTTAAAAAGAGTCATGCTAGTTGGGAGTGTTTATTTCACTGGTAGTGATGCAACTGCGACACTCGCATTCCATAGTTGTTCATGAACCAGTGATGAGCAGTAATTACTAAAGGAACCTCCATTGCTGGGAAAACTGCACCTTCTCTTGTTCCAAACTTGGGGCCCATAGGGTGGCTGATCAAACTTAGCATTAAATAAGGACTGACAGATTGGGGTTTCCAAACGAGACTTACCCTCTGGGGAGTAACAATTGGCGACAGTTCATCCAGGTTGGTGGCCGGGAACTCGATACCCTTCTGCTTCAGCTCATCGTAGACCTTGACCACCCCTTGGAGGTCCGGCTTGGTGCGGAAGGCATCGGCCCAAGACTGGATGAGGCTGAGGATCTTCTCCTGGATGACGGTGGGCGGGTTCATGCTGGGCTGGATGATCTTGACCAGCTCCTTGACGAAGTCCTGCTTGCAGACCAGTGCGTGGAAACGGTGGCCGCAGTTTTTGACGCACGTCTCTAAGACCTGGGGGGGGAGAGCGGGCAAAAAGAGTCAGACATTGGAGGCAACGGTGAGATGAGACAAGTCAGAAATTGAGATCAGTTTTTACGTTAAATTTATCACTCTTGTGTGTTTTGTGCACAGTGATGCTTCTTAACGTGTACATCAGGTCACCACCACAGGGTGACTTGGGGTCCTCTCTGACACAAAGAAGGATAACTGACTCAGACACCATACTTTTCAAGTTCATGAATGGGAAAAGAAGCATCTGATTTGGAAAGACTTGTGCCTGTGACATGACGCTTTCCTTCAGGGTGATCTTCACAGCACTTTGACGGAGCCAGATTCTCTTGAAAGATTTTTAAAACTTTTATTGTGTCAATTTCTTTTTTGGAAGCATTAGACAAATTATTAAGCATATAACATCGATTCTCAAGTATTAAACTGTACAGTTACTCACTGTGAGTGCAAACATGACTTCTTTCCAATTCTTGTTTCCTAGCAGCCTTTTCTTGATGGCTTTGATAGCATCTTTAGGCCTGCAATACAATAAAATGTTAATAAATGCAAGTTAGACTTTGACATGAAGTACAGACCCATTTTGGTTTTTAAAAGTGATAACATTTGACACAACTTCTTCTCATCCACAGTACAGCTTTCACTCCATTTTCAACTCAATCTAGCCCTTCTGAACGCAAGAAGGAGCACAAGAGAGAAAGATTTGTGGGACTATGTTGAAGTCACTCCTGCTGTGCCGTACATGAAGTTGAAAGATCAAGTCCAAAGAAGAAACATTTCCAAGAATAAAGAGTTCTTTGTCCAATATCCAGCTCAGCTGGTGCTGAATGAAGCAGGAGTTGGACAAACTTAGGTCTATAACATCTTTCAACATCCAGCTAAAAGACTGTGAAATCAGGGAATCTGTGAAATGCACCCCAAACCTAACATTTATTTTCTCCCCAAAGAACCGTCAGAAATTGTTCCTTTAGGTATCAAGTTAAAGCTTAGGGTGTTGTTTTTTCAAAACTGAAGACTTTGTTAACATCTGGTGATATTTGAGGAGATAATATCATTAACGTAAGACAAGCGTTTTTTTGTTTTGTTCAATGCCATTTTATCACAGCTATCAATGTGCTACGCTCAAGCTCTGCTTTTACCCTGTACCTTCTGGGTCTGAAAGGGTTTGAAAAAATGAGGATATTGAACTAAACAAGTCTCTGTTATATTAAATTAAAGCTTTTTTCTTATTTTCCAACAAACAGGATACGTAAATGGTTCAGTTTCAAACTGAATAAGGGTGCTTTGCACAGGTTCAGCCGACACATTTTGCACTCATTGAACTGCACAGCAACCACTGCCTTCTTACACAAGCATCCGTTTCATCAAGTTTAGAGCTAGAAAGAAATTTGCAAGAACTAAACCTGTTGCGAAAAACTAGGATTTGTATTCAGTGACAGCATGTCCTTGCAAGATAAGCTGTATAAACTTCCACGGGACAGAACAAAAAATGTGCTGTGTTACATAATTGAGATTATCCCTGCAACACGTCATCGAATTTAAATGAAATTTTCAGTTTTTAAAAGATAACATCCTTGCTCCCCTTTCGACTGAGCTCAACCGCATCTAAAAGGCAAGTCCTGCCTGGCACCTCTGTGCAGTGAAAGGGTAACTTACCCTTCCTCTGTTTCATTGATGATATCACATATCTCCATGTTCAGGCCCCAATCCTCGGAGGCTAGACCCTCCGAGGTGGCCTTCTCTGTTGGAGCAAAAGACAGAGAGTCAGGGTTAATCCTGGCATCGATACCACACTGGTGATTTCCTTTTCTTAAGTGTACCTGCAATGAATTGTATACTTTTTCATACTATTCTTCAGTGTATGGAAACTTTCTCTGTTCGATTAAATATGTTGAAAAGTGCACTGTTTTAAACACTTCAAATTATCCGTGCTTTCCTGAACAACTGAGGGCGCTGTTGCTGTGATGTCATCTAGGGAAGACATGGTTCAGTGCATAGGTTTTTCAGAACAAATTGTGGCCCCAAAATTACTCACTGAAAACATTTCTGAGAATGGGTTGATTGCCTGCTTATTGCTGTGTACCTGAACAACACTTAATCACCAAAGAAAAAATTTACGCCACCAAAATCTTAAAAACAAAGAGAGTTCTTGTGCCCCAACCAATGTAACATTGAAGTCTTCTTTCTCAGATGGTACCACAGTTTTGCTTAATAATATGAAAGTATTCATTACTTAACTAGCATGAAAACCATGAGGGCAGTAAAATACCATTTGGAGTAATGAAAAAAAAATTGATAATGAGGTCAACTGAGACTCCATGGTGCATTTGGAGGTGTACAACTCGTTGTAGTCAAAGCTGCTGAATGTTGCGCTGATTTAGGAAACAGTCGTCGGCACGTGCGTGCAGACAGCACATGCTTATCGTGAATGGTATCTGAATCCTAACGTGGGTGT